GCAGATCCCTAGTTAGCTTTCTCCCTATCGAGGGCTATCTTCCAAGGGTGTCTCCACCAGGTCTCACTTCAGTCCTGATGCAGTACTTTCATTGTGCGTGTTGCTCTCTTTTTCAGACAGGTTGGGTTAGCAACTCTGTTGCCCTGTGCTGTAGGGAATCCAGGTACCCAGTTCTGCAGTTCCTGGGTCCTTCTCACACATGTGCAAAGCCAGGTGAGTGCTGGCATCAGCTAATGGCGCATAGAGTTCCCAAGTCCCTGTGCCACACGTGGGATTCCAGCAGGCAACAGCAGCTGCTAGAGATGGTGGCGGGGGGTGGGCGGCAGTGCTTCCCATGACTTTTTACTTTTCCTTCTTGATTCTACTTGATCAAGTCTGCTACTAAATCCCACTCGCAAATTTTCCATTTTTTTTTCTTCGTAGTACTGGGTTCTGAGCCAAGGGCCTTCACATTGAGCTACACCTCCAGATTGACTGATCAACTGATTGATTTATAGAGTTCTGTTAAGTCTCTAAATTTGTCCAAGCTGGGCCTGATCTTGGAATCTTCCTGTCTCAGCCTCCCAGAGTGCTGGGATTATAGGAATGCATCACACACCTGGCTCAAATTATACTCTCCAGTGTCAATTGTCCTAATTTTCACTTTGTTGTTTATCTGGGCTCTTCTGTAGTGAGATTCTACATATAATTATTTTGAATTATCTGTCAGGTAATTCATAGACCTGTTGCTTTGGAGTAGCTTTGGAAGATTATTCATGCTTCCCTTTGTGTGTTATTTTGTGGTTTCATATGTTATGAAAAAAAAAATCACTTGTCTTTCCAGACTGGATTTACCCAAAGGAACCTTCACCAATCGTCCCAGCTAGAGACTCTGGGGATTCCTCAGGCCTTTTCTTGCGATGGTTTCTTCTCTGGGCCTATGAATGTAATTTTTCAATTAGAGGGCTTTACTGTTTCATTTTTTAAGAGCTTATAATCTTTTTGCTCCCTTTCATGTCTGTTTGGAGTACTATTGATTCTCTGGTGCTGCAACAGGTTACCGAATTCTCTTATACTTCATGGTCTCAGGCTTCCAAAGAATGCCAGTCTCCTGTTCATACTACATGCCATCCAAGCGAGAACCATTCCTTTGATATTCCCCAGGACAGCCAGAATGCCCCACTCTTCTCTTTCTCCCCATTGTAGAGCCCCAAGCTTTGCACTTTACCCCAAGCCTACTGAGCAGTGCCAGCCTTGCTCTATAAAACTGTCAGGTCTCAGCACCATAACAAACCACTGAGCTTTCTCGTGTTCCCTGTGACCCTCAGGCATCCAAAGCCTGCTGGCTTTCCACAAGAGTGCTCCCCAAAATGCTGATATGCTCAATCCACACTTGACTTTTCTCGTTTCCTCTCAAGGGAGAAATAAGTTGGGCTTCTCCTTCTAATCTTGTCAAGCTGTGCCAGGTTATCACTGCTGATATGAAATATCTTTTTCCTTACCAATCCTGATGCAGGCATTTCTGACTCTGAGCTTGTCTGTAGTATGGCAACTTCTTTACTGGTTCCTATTGTTCTCATAGATGATTTGGGGCTATATATTAGGGGGCTATCCCTGTGTAGGAATAAGATCTCTGCTTTCTGTTCTGCCATTTTTCTGATGTTGCTCCTGAACAATTCCTTTAATGTTTATGATTTACTTAATTTTCCTCTTTTGGTAATCACTGCTGATGCTCTTTTCTCACTTTCATACTGCACTGTTTGCCTCTTTAGGACTGATTTGCTGGAGTCGTTTCTATATTTTGGATACTAATCTTTTGGTCAATTTCATAGGTTTCAAACAACTTCAAAGTCTGTGACAGAGCATTTCCACTTGATCACAATTTTATGGTAATGTTGATGATGTTCATCCTCAGCTGATTTTTAAAAATTATCACTCTATATTTTGGGAGTCAGGTGTAGACAGTACATACACATTGCATCCTATCAATTTTTAAATTTATTTTGAAAAACTTTAATTCAGTTATTCAAAAGATCCATTATTTAACATTCACCTCACAGCTAAATCAACTTGATGTATTTGACATATAACTAAATTTGTGTAAGTATTCTTCAAGTACCCTAGATATTCTTATTTTTATGTATATATTAATACCACATGAGTTACCTATTTCAGATGCCCTAATACTGATGTTTAATAAATTTTTCAAGTTCAAAAATCATCACCATCATCTAGTTTTAGAACATTTTCATTACCTTACCAAAAAAAAAAAATCTGTGTTCCTACTTTCAGATACAATTAATTTAGTGTCTGTCTCTGTATTTGTCTGTTTGAACATTTCATGCAAATGGAATCATCACATTATGTAGTCTTTTGTGAATGGCTTCTTTTACTTAGCACATTTCTCAGGCTCACCCATGTTGCAGAAGGATCAGTTCCTTCTTATTGAGCAAACCGTCTATTTTAAGGACATTCACATTTTGATACTGCTATTTATGAGTTCACAGACTTTTGGGATGCTTGCACTTTTTGCCTACTATGAATAATGCTATGAATATTAATATACTAATGGCTGTGTATTTTTTGTGAAAAGTGTATTTTAATATTTTGCCTATTACTATGTTGTCTTCTAACCACTGAGTTTTTCACATATTCTAGGTAAGAGTCCTTTATCAAATGCATGATTTGAAAATACCGTCTCATAGTCTATGACTTTGTCATTTCAATTTTTAAATGATGGTTAAGACTTTTAAAAATTTGTTGATTGTTCTTTGGATTATTTCTAGGTTTGAACCATTACAAATAAAGCACCTCTGAACTTTCATGTACAAGTATTGGTGAGTACTTATGTTTTGGTTATTAGTAAGTAATAGAGGAATTGGTAAGTTGCACGGCATGTATTTAACTCTATAATAAAGTGCCATATTGTTCACCAAAGTGGTTGTATTATCTCACATTCTCACAAGCACTGTATAAGGAATTCACATCTTCTTCAACACACACTCATGTGTTTTAAATTTTAGTCATTTGAGGGCATATGCAGAGTGGTATTACATTTGATTTTTTTCTTGTTTAATTTTTTACTGTGGTAAAATGGAATACTTATATATGCATTTGTACATGATAACAATGTGCTGACATTATATTTAATGTACTATGTCTCATTACCTATCTATGTTCAAAAGTATTAATCATTCCTAATATAAATACTGAACACATTTAAAAACTCTACTTTTTTCTCCTCTTTCCAGCTCCTAGTAACCTCTATTCTGCTTTCTGTCTCTGTGATTATGCCTATTCTAGGACTTAAACATTAAATGTTTAAATTACAATGTTTAAACATTTAATGTTTAAGTGGACTTAAAACATTTATCTTCTGTGTCTGGCTTGTTTCACTAAGCTTGAATGATGCTTTCAAGGCTCATCTATATTTTTATATATAAAAACTGTATTCCTTTATATAGCTGCATAGTATTCTACCACATGTGTATAACACCCTTTTTTGTCCACTCATCTGTTGATAAGACATTTGAGTTGCTCCTACATTTTAGCTACTGCTGCTAATGAACATTGGTGTACAGATACCTGTTCAAGTTCTACTTTCAGTTCTTTTGCATGTGAACACTCATAGCACTGGGTTTTCTGGGTCGCACAGTACTTCTGTGTTCAATTTTTTAGGTAAAATGCTAAACTCTTTTTCATCATTTTTTTTCCTGGCACCATTTTCTATTTCCCAATTTCTTTGCATTCTTACCAATTTGTTACTTTTTCCATCTTTTTTTATTGTTATTATAGTCATCGTATGGATATAAAGTAGAATTTCATTCTGACTTTGATTTACATCTCTAATAATTAGTGATGACTAGCATCTTGTGTGCTTATGGGCCAGCTGTTTGAAGGAATGTCTGCTCAAGTCCGATGTTCCTTTTTAAGATATGGTACTGGAGGTTGAACCTGGGTCTCATACATGCTAGGCAAGTAATTTATCAATAAGCTACATAAATTCTCAGCTCAAAAGTTCTTAATTTTAATAGTCTAACTTATCTAGCTTTCTTTTTTGACAATATTATAGATGGTGTTTCTAAAAAAATCATTACCAAATACAAGGCCATGAGAATTTTTTTCAATATTTTCTTCTAAGAATTTTATGTTTTACTTTAATGATTAGATGCCCCAATTTCTAAAGCTGTGAAGGCAAAGGCATTTTTGTTTGTTTGTTTTTAAAAACAAAATCTTGCTATGTAGCCCAAGCTAGCCTTGAATTCATGGCAATCCTCCTGCCCACCTTCCAAGTGTTGGGATTACAGGCATGTGCCACCATGCCAGAATCCCAAAGACTTCTAATACAGCTTTAATTTGCAACAGTTTTTTAAAAAATTCACAAAAGTGCCTCAATTCCTAGGTTTCCTTGGTTAATGATTTCTTAAAAATGAAATCCTCACCAATGAAAACAATTCTGAATACCTTCACAGAATGAAGAAACATTTGTAATGTGATTAATTGCCTTTTACTCTTTCTGAATCTATTAGATTTGTTTAGTCTAGACTTTGAAACTTTGTTTCTTAAAATAGGTCATATGCGCAAATCAAATAGCTGTTGCCCTGTAAATATTCCGTGTGCCTGCACACATGCACACACACAGTGGCGGGGAGCAGTACGAGTGGGGCACGCATTTGCATCTGTACACATTCTTCTCTTATATAGTAAGAAATTCCAGGGTGAGCCACAGTGGTCTTCTCTTTCGTATTCTTTACTATGTAGGTAAGTCTTTTATCTAATGCGTACACCGAAGATGTTGCATGATTTGATTACTGCCCCGCAAAAATTGAGAGAACAGTGATTATAAAGGAAGTGTGCAAAAACTCACAAATTTGCCATGTATTCCCCTAAATTAATTTCTCTACACAGAATTCAACTGTACCTATGAGCATGCATTTCCTATGAATTAGAACATTTTTCTCTAGTAACTGAGCTGATACATTTTGAAACTGGAGAAGAGGGATGTTTAGTTTAACACCTACCGCCTTCGAGTGTTAAATCCATTAAGATGACTCTCTCTCAGTTTGGACACTAATGATAAAACCATCTGTGAAACAAAATCAATTGCAGGTTAACTCAAACTGCAAACAGGATTACATCAGTTCTATTTTTCTTGGTGAGTGATACTTCCGTTGAGATTCCTTCCCCCCACATTCTCCTTATGCTTTATTTTGTTAGAGTGAAAAGAAAGCAGTGCCAAATCATATTTACTAATAAGTAGACTTCATGTTTAATGTATATTTTCTGCATTCCTATCTAGGGAATGAACAGTAGGCTGATCATTAACTTTCTAAGAATTAAAACCAAATCCATGCAGTTAAAAATGTAGAGTTCACTTATTATTGCTTTATCTTAAAAAATGCTTTTCATGTGTAATACTTCCAAACAACCAAAATGGTTAACATACATTAAAAATCTCATAACATTTTTAGAAGTTATATCAAGATAATAAATTTAAATTTCTTGGATTTGGCTAAAATTATAGGCAAATGTAAACACAGCTTAAATACTAAGATGTAAATATGTAATACTATTTACAAGGTTGTTTAGTGAATTTTCTGCCATGCTTTAACATAAATTCCAATAAGTTTATATTAAATACAAGATTTATTCAACAGCACAAGACTGTGTTCCTAGTTTAGAAATTCTCTTGTTTCCAAAATCCTTAAATGAGTAAGTGAGACGTGTTATAAGAAAGAGAGGCTGACTAAAATGTTTCCTGGTTTTCTTCTTTTTCACAAACTTCCACCTCTCAATTCTTCCCTACATGGCCATAACCCTGACCAAGGTAAGAAGAGATAAACAAAGAAAAGTTAAACAGTTCCCTGGGAGGACTGAAATGTTTCCATTTATCCTTTGGCTGATGGTACATTCAACAATGAAAATTTCAATACTAATACATTTAATATACTCACATTTTTAAGCAAAGCAGGACAGTAATCTACAGGCTCATACCCAAGGCCTTGAGTGAAAAGATCAAATTCTTTTATATTAAATCTGAATGCAGAAAGTATATGAGATAACAGGCCCTAAAAAACAAACAAAAAGAGGAAAGGTGAACTTCTTCTAAGTGGATGAAAGTGTGTCTGTTACATATAATATCTAGAAATCGAGTCATTTAAATGTACGGTAGCATGAAACCAGTAATCCACCTTTGTCTAGTTCACTTTCATTCAAGATGCAAAGAAATGACTTAAGTGTTAAAATTAGTAACTAAAAATAAGTAAATTTAAACAAATCAGAGCAGTGAAACATATATCTAATGAACAAATGGTCTTTAACTATATTAAGAATAGCATCATTGTTCTAAAACTCAGCAAAATATTTTTATCAGAGTAGAGAGGAGAATTTAATACATGATAAAGAATGCCAAAAATCAGCAGGGAAAGGAAAGATTATGCAAAACATGGAACTTGGCCAAATTGACTGTTTAAAAAAAGGTTAAATTCTCATCTTACATTATTCATTAGAGGTTAAAGAACATTTCCTTGTTTGTTATTGGAGAAATATAAATGGGGTTTCCATTCAGAGTAGGCTGACCACTGCAGCAAGGCACCCATAGGTTGTGAACAGGTGGATCCTAGCCCCAGGCCCGGACACTCAGGGACTACATTTGCCCAGGAGCTTGACGCCTGAACAGGGACACCCTGTAGGCTAGCAAAGGCCCCACTTTTTGTGCAATACAACTGGAAAATATGTATTTAATATGTTAGAAGTCTTTAGAATCTTTGATGTACCTAGCATATATCAAAGGTAATCAGAGAGGTCATCTCATTATGAAAAGTATCTGACAAGAGGGTATGATTAATTTATAATACCTTTGTACACTGGCTCGCTGTAGGCCAATTAACATGTTTATAAAGAAGAATTTATGACAGCATTTTAAATGAGTATACTACTAATAAAGATACTAAATTCTATATCTAGAAGCATTTTCACCAGTATAAAAGTAATCTACACATGGAATATAAAAATAATGGAAGAAAAGGTCCCCACATGTTAACACTCTCTACGTGGTGCTACTATGGTGATATACACCTCCACATATTTTCCTTCTATCTACTTAAATACAGTTTCCAGTTTCCTTTATGTGTGACTACTTTTATAATCAAAGATATTTTTTAAAGTGTTTGTTCAGAAATATTTGATTTTTATAAGTTTTACTGAGGTACAATTCACATACCATAAAATTCCTCTCTCTGTGGGTATACAACTCAGTGGTTTTTGTAGTACAGCCACAGTAAGTCATCTTAATTTTGTTTTGTTTTTTAAAGAGTTTGGGTCTATGTTGCCTAGGCTGTCTCAGATTCCTGGGTTGAAGTAATGCTATTGCTTCAGCCTCCCGAATAGCTGGGACTATAGGTAGGTGCCATGGTAGCTGGCCTTACTTTAAATTAATTAATATCAACAGTGGCCAGTTGGGGGCTGCTCTTCAAATTGGGGTGCCATGCAGGTGTCTGGGTAAGCAGAAGCTCAGCCAGGCCTGGCCAGTCATATGTCCAATTCAAGAGGAGGTGTCCAAGGCATCCCCAGGCAGAGGAGAGGGGCCAGGTAGGGTTGGCTGGACCTCAGTCAGCCTCAGGGTCAGGTTCAGTTTGGGTTTTTCACAGAAGAGGTGAGTCTAATGCTAAGTGGAGGGAAGTACTAGATGTGTTCCATATTCTGCCACCAGACTTTTGCATTCTATTACACAAATGCTTAAAATAGCTCCTATATAGCAGGAACCACTCCAAGTGCTTTATACATAGTGTTTTACTCAACCCTCACACTCTATGGAGGAAATCTTATTGAAGATGAGAAAAATCAGAGAGTTTAAGTAGCCTGCCCAAGAATGGTGCCTGCTCTGTAGCCAGACTTTATATGGAACTGCCCCGTATTCACTCTCTAAGACATCTGGGTTAGTTTTTAACCATGCAAATCAGATCAATCTGTTTGCAATCCTCAAGGCTCCCAATCACCCTCACCAGTAAAGCTCAAATGTCTTCCCAAAGTCAAGAAACCTGGCCCAGAATCTTTGCAATTCCCCTCTTCCTGCCACCACGCTGGGTTCCCTCACTGTTAGGTTTGTGACCCAGGAGGGCCCAGTCTCTTGTCTGGTTACATGTCACTTCTTGAAGGCATTCTAAAAATTATGACAGCTACAAATTACTGAGTGCTTGCCATGTGTGAGGCACTGTGCTAAATTCTCTTAAGTATGGCATCTCACTGAAAACCCACATTCAGTTTGTAATTGAGTTCCATTAATCAAATGCTATAAACATAGTTCCCTGCCCCACATTAAAAAAAAAAAGCCCATACCACAAAACTCAGTGTTACCAAAAATGAGGCAAATGTGGCAAGATGGGCTCTGTTGTTTGGAGAGTGTATTTGTAAAGCCTTTCCGAGAAGTTACTTGTTAATGTGCCCTCCTTTAAGAGATGATTAGAACATGAAGGCAGAGTCCTCAGGAAGGATTAATGTTATCTCTGGAATGGGTTAGTTATTAAAACAATGGATTACTGATAAAAGGATGACTTTTCTCTTTTGCATGTATTGATTTTCTTGCCCTTCTAACTGCTGTTAGGAAGAAGACAGCCCTTGCCAAAGCTGGGTGTGGTAGCTTAGTACTGGGAGGCTGAGGCAGGAAGATGACCAACACGAACAATTTAGCAATATACTATCTTGAAAAAAAGGGCTAGGAATGTAGTTCAGTGTGAAGGCCTTGGGTTCAAAATCCAGTACAGAGGGGAAAGGGAAGGCAAAGGGAGGGAAGGAGAGAGAGTTAAAAAAAAAAAAAAAAAAAAACCAGCCCTCATCTCATGCAGGCTCCAGGATTTTAAACTTCTCAGCCTCCAGAATAGTAAGAAACAGTACCTGCCTGGCAAGCACAGGGTCATGAGGTCAATATCAGGTACCAAAAAAAAAAAAAAAAAAAAAAAAAAAAGAATAATAAGAAATAAATTCCTTTCAAGGATTCTATTACAGCAGCATAAAGCTTGGACAGTAGTCAAGCATTAAAATTCTTACTGTTTTACCCAATATCTCAATTTCTAAGAATATATCCTAAAGGATGATATAGGCTCATAACAGCATTACTTATTACAGTAAAAATCTAGAAGCAATAAGTACCCAATAATACCAGATTTGGTGAATTTATAATGATTTATACAACAGTAAAACCATGTGAAAAGACAGTTGATGATATAAGATAAAACAGTGTAACAATTTAAAAAGCAATGTGTAAAACTGAACATTCATTGTGATTTTAATTTTGTATGTACAAAAAAATGCTAGGAAGAAATTTAACAAATACATGACATAGGTAATTTCTGAGAGTAACTTAAAATTTCTTCTTTAAATGACATGATTTACAAAGTTTCTATAATTACCACATTTTAATGTTATCATAAAAGTATTTTGTAAAATAAAATTATGTGATTTAAATGTCTTTTTTTCTTCCCCACAAATACCCAATATTGCTATGGAAAGATACAAGTCCTTTGTTTTTTAGACAGGGTCTGACTATAGCCCAGGCTGGCCTCAAACTCATGGCGATCCTCCTACCTCAGCCTCCCAAGTGCAGGGATTGTAGGCCTGTCACCACACATGGCTTGGGAGACTACAGGAGTTTTATGACTAGATCAAAAGAAGTATAAACCCTAGAAACAATGAAGTATATTGAGACTGTCTATAGCTATAAATTGTTAAAGCAGACAACCCAAACTTTAGTTCCCTAAATTTCTATTTTAAAGTAAACTAAAAAGCTAGTTAAGCTGAAGTGGGCATGCAGCTCAGTAGTAGCACATTTGCCTAGCATGTGTGAACCCTGGATTCAATCTGCAGCACCACAAAAAAATAAAAAAGATCATTAGGCAGCAGGGCATGATGGTGCACACCTGAAATCCCAGTACTCGGGAAGCTCAGCTCAGGTAGAAGGGCTGCAGGTTGCAGGCTAGCCTGGACTCTACAGGGATTTCAAAGCTTGTCTGCACTATATAGACCTTGTCTCAGAAAGAACAACCAAGAAAAGATTTATCATTTTTCCTGGCTAACTTTTTTTTTATACTGCCACCTAGTGGCAAACAGTCTAAACACAAAACCATTATAGATGAGAGACGGCCCTGGACGAAAACAATTTCCTACAGACATAGAAGAATAGATTCTTTTTTGAAATGCTGCAGATCGACCTTGGAGATCCTTTACTGCAACCTCACATTTCACCAATGAGCAACTGAGTTTCTGAATACACAAAACAGTGTTTACAAAAAGGAGCTGGCGATAAAGAAACAGGTTCTGACACTGGTGGGGGAAAATGCAAATGCATGCTCCTGACTCAAGAACTAAACTCCTTCAAGGATAGAAAGTGCAAGAACCGGTTTTTTTCAAAAATGCGGCTTGCTAGGGGATTGGGCGGAGAGTCTCTCCGGAGAAATCATATTAGATGATAGAATATGACAACATGGAGAGGGCCAGACAAATGGATAATGATTCTTATTAACCAAGACAGCGCGGCAGGAGGACTTAAAGTCGTGCTGAGACTGGGAAGGCTGATAACGGGAGGCTGCAAATCCCGCGCCTTTAATGCGGCAAACTGACCAGTGGACCCAACAGGAAAAGCTGTGTTGGCTTTTGGTGACTGCTGGAAATTGAGACCCGGGATACTGAGAAGCAGCCAGGACTGCCCTGCTGAACCAGAGGAGATTGTGAAAGGCTCTGGAGCTCTGAAGCCCAACGCTGTGCAGTTTTCTGACCATTCCACACTGTGCTGGGAGCACAGTGAGGGCAAGCGGCATGGTGTGCAGTAGACTCAAGAGGAGGACCTGCACCAAGCCCTGGTGAGTACTGGGGACTGGGTCCCGTGGCTGCTGTGGCTGATCAGAGAATATCTTGGAATTGGGTAGAGTCCACCACCACGGACATCAATAACACAGAGAGTCTGGCGGAAGACATCTTAGAGTTGGGCAGACCCTGCGGCTCGGTGACATCACTGAGTTGCCCCTGGTGTAGTTGCCCCTGGTGGAGGACATCTTGAAATTGGGCAGAGCCTGGC